TATGCCGACTTGACGGCTTTGGACTTAGGCATTTCGGGTTCGATGTTTCGACTCTAGTTCTGTGATCCTAGGTTGAAGCATCCTCAGGCCTGTCAAGAACAAAACAATGACAATAGTTGTCGCATCATTATCACGATCATTTGATGCAAACCCCATGCCCCGTAAGCTACCTGTATTTTCACGCAGGACCTCGGGCATGGGGCATGTAAAACCTAGCGCTGAGCTCCCTGCAGCCCGGGCCCGAACCTGCGGGTGAGCCTGGGGTATATTCCCTTTTGTGCCTCAGAAACGAGTTAGCATAACTTATATTACTGTAAGCACGCAACCTTCGATCAGACGAGGAAAGCCTAAAGTCTTCAACGATGCTTTCTGCTCGGCACGATGTAAGGGGCATCCCTACCCCATAATGGGGCTATATATAATGGGTATATAATACCTCTATTAAGGGTCTATACCTATGGGTCCTTATTAAGGGTCTATAACCCTAAACCCTAAACCCTAAACCCTAAACCCAATGGGTACTTATTAAGGGTCCATAGGATACGGGGGTCGGCAGTCATGTTGAATCCTCGCCTCCTGCGTCGTCAACTCGCACTGCATCGCCATGCCCGCCGTGGCTGTCGCCCTCGGCTCCGGGAGCTGGATTAGTAATGGTAGTAATAATAAGAATAACAATAATAATACTAACAATAATGATAATATTAGGGGTTATTTGGGGATCCTTATAATCAGGATCCTATTATTTTGGGTACTATAATTATTAGGATCCGAAGTTTGCGGGCGGTCGGGAGGGCGCCACTCGTTCCAGACATGACCAGGCTTGAATGCATCGTTCTGCACTCTTAACTGAGTTAGGGGTACTGAGTTGTTCAGCAGGAGATTATAGGCTATGATTCTCTTGCACACCCTGGGTCTGGAGGCAACGACCTGCTCGAACCGACGGTCAAGCATCCTAAAACAGGATGGGCCGTAAGGCCAGTGTCGGGTTGAGCTTGTGGCGGCTCAGTGTTCTACGCCTTGGCTTAGGGGGCAAGTTCTGGTGCACCAGAACTTGAAATCTGTCGAGCGTTTCGGTCGGTGGTATCTCCCAGAAATTCGCCCGAAGTTCTCACCAGCTCCCTATCTCGGTGCCGACACCCTCCCAGGAATTGGGACATCATCACCCAGTCCTTTAGTTCGTGTTCCTCAAACTCTAGGGAGAACTTCTGGCACCAAGCTCTGGCTCAACTCTGCAAGTCTTGAATAATCTTGAATATCCTCAACCACATATCAGAACCTACTAGCCAGAAAGCCAAACCCTCCCCAGACCGGGCTCTGCGCTCTTTCAAAGCCTGGTGCCAGATCTCCGATGTTGCGAAGCCCCACAACGTGTTGGACGAGGCCTCTGAAGGGCTCGATACCTATTATTACTATTATTTCTACTATTGATATTGTTCTTGCTGTTATTACTAATACTGTTACTAATATTACCATAGAACTGTGGCAGCGGGCCGTCGTGGTTGCTGCTCTGTGCTGTTGTCGAATCGAGGTACCAGAGTGGTATTGCATAGTACCCGCTCACAACTATGAGATTTGCATAGTTCTACATGCCATTGTATGAAGTAGGAACTACACTTGCAGTGACAGCCGTCAAACTACTCGTTGTGTCGCAGAAACTTCGCGATGCACAGAATTTTTTCCAGACCATGCCACTATTTCTAATCATAGGACCCTGCAGCGACTAACAAGTGGTCATCGTGTGGCCGGTGATGAGGAAGATGACGAGAAGATAACGAAACAGGAGGAGCCTGCCGATCTAAGGCACAGGATTCTCCGTTTCTGAGTCGCTGCCACGAGAGCTTAGCATCTAAGTTGTGCTACCACTTGGGCCTCTTGCAAACCGCGCGGGCGGCTGCAAACATGATCCTTGAGGATTATGTGTTATGAGAATCTTGATTCTAGCATTTCCTGGCGGAAGCCTATAGACTTGTACCGCGAGAAGATTCAGATTCGCGTCGGGACCACATTTCCTGTGCCAGCAGCCTAAGGCCATCGAAAGCCCCACTCCAAACTAAGCCCGCCGTCAAATTTTCTCTTCTCTCTCAGTATTACGGTGCGGAGAAGGCCTGTGCGTCGAACTTCTCGATGCCCTGCCGGGCAGCAACGACACAACACTGTGAAAGAATGTATGATTACGGCATTCAATGATTGCACAGGCATACTGCTTCATCAGGCAGTCACATGCAGAACTCGACCTTCAAGAAACGTGAAGGGCATCAATCTTGACAGTCGGACATGCACGAGAGGAACCTAGGGTACCTAAACTATGAGCACACCACAAAGCGGAACGACCGCAATGCCATTTCGAAGTCCCCAAAAGGTCCGAGCCTGGGAGATACTGTACTCATATCTCGGTCTATAGAGGGATGCGGGTTCAGGATGTCGGGCTGGGGTCTTTAGAGCTGTGGTCTGTGAGATACAAAGTTAAGGTTAGGGCCCGGCAGCTTTAGATCTTGCGCTTCGGACTTTTTTTAGCAACATCCCAACATCATCCTATTTGCTAACTAAGGTATAAGATCAAATGAAACGCCTCTCGCCATGAAGTCCCGGAAAAGATAAGACTTTGAGCTCACTTGCTCGACCTAAACCTCTCCCGGCTGCTCAGATCTGACGGTTAAGACTGCCTTCTAAACCACCGTCGCCATCATGAGAGAGCTGCCAAGAATATGGCTGCCTTCCGAAAAACTATAGAACCTAAAGAAACCCTCAAATGTCGAAAGTCCTCACCCCATTCACCGTGCATCCCTCCAATCAAAGGCGGGCAAAGGCCTCCACCGCAGCCTGCCCGACCCGCTCGAATAGCTCCACATCCTTGTGCTGCAACTTTGCACCTCACATCGGTGGATGGCATCCAAAAAGAATTTCGACCCACACGATCGCAAACCAGGCACGCATCCAAGAAGAGTTTAGGGACTCAGGATTCCTCTTCAATGCCCGTACTTCAGGATTCTTCACCAAGCTTCCTCGTCTGCGGGCTTCAGGAGTTTGGGTGCAGGGCCTCGGGCTTGTGGTCTCGGGTCGCACAACGTCGCCGGCTCGCTACACCTAGGAACAGCAGAACCTTCTTCTCTAACTTTCGCTGGCTTCTTGGGGTCGACTTCTTTGAGGTCTTAGGTTCACGATGCATGGCCAGAACAGGAAACATCCCCAAACTATGATGACTGATGACATGCAGGCGAGCCCAACACAACTCCAAGCAACGCTCTCCACAAGGCTCGATGTGATTCTGCGGGGTTTCTTGGGTCCTAGAGAAAGCAAGCAACAAGGGTAAGGTCTATGTGTCGTCTACGCAAACCAAAAGGGCCCTTTTTTCCGACACTGCCCTCGCTCTGAGAAACCGCGCAGGACCATGCAAAGTTGGAGGTGGACTGCCTGAGGCAGGCGCTTCCTCTGAAGGGTTTTTTTAAAAGTGCAGTGGCGTCTTTCTGGTTAGAGTTTTGCGTTTAGGGTTTAGGGTTTAGGAACCCGCAAGTCCAGTAAGCCAAGTAGAAACCCTCGGGAAGACGACCTGACCACCCGAGGCTGGTTACTGAAGCGTACGTGGATGGGCAGAACCATCCAAGACATGAGTCCTAAACATCGGATCATACAGACGAGGCGACTTCGTGAGTGCTTGGAAGGATTGTGGCAGCCGTACTGGGCGCCGGAAGCCGCATCAATAGAACAAACAGCAGCAGCGGCGGCAGCAGAGCAGTTGTGCAGCAGCAGTTGCGCAGCAGTAGCTGTAGCAGTGTTCGACCCTGGTCCAGCGATACCACCTGGAGCTGCTTTAATGGTTGTGATCAGTCCCGCCTCTCGAAACTAGGGAGCTTTTGATAGGCAGCTTCGGCCAGGACGCTCATGACCTGTCCAGGGCTGGAGTTTACGGTTCTACGGAATGTTTGTGCTACTATTCCAGAAGTCCTTCTCGCTGTCAAGACCCCAGTACAAACACAATTGAAGGCAAACCAGCCTGAAACTGAAGAATAGGCTTTGCGGGATCGTCCCTTTCAGTGTTCCTTGCTTTCTGAAGCTGTTCTGCGAAGTTGATACGGGCGGAAACTCTACTTGAAGGACTTCGTCCCATCTTTCTTCTAGGGCTTTTGTTCAGAGCCAAAACTTCACCAGCTGATTCTCAGGCTCCACTCCACCTCATGCACGCCAACCCGGACCCCAGCTTTGAATGGAATCCAGAGGCCCTACAGCCCCGAAAGCTCTGTTGGCAAATCCCCCTACTGTTTCTAGGTCTTCGTGGGGCTAATTCCTATAACATAACGTGCTCCCGGCCGCATCACCATCCAGGAGAAGCGTAGCTGAAGCCCAGCCTGCCATAAAAGAGAGGCCACAGGACCAGGGTTTGGAGTTAGTATACAATTATAAAGGCCTGGCGGCGGTTAAGAGTCTGCGGGACTGTGACAAATGCCACACAGGCCGACGCGATGCAGTAGATGCGGTTTTTGCAGTGGTCCCTCAGAGAGCAATTCGGTAATTGTTCGATGACCGCGAACCAAGGCTCTAAGACACCAACACGATGCCATCATAACTAATCCTTGAGCCTAAAAGAAACCCTGCACTCCAAACCTTATCTTTCACTCAAAATCTTCTGAAACTATCTGGCTGGCGCTGCTGGCGCTGGTCGGTGCTGGTGGAGCCGGTGGAACCGGTGTTGCTCCCTCCCTAACTCCCCCTCCCTTCCCATTTTTGGTAGCTGCTTGCGAAAGCTTGGCATATGAATTCAACACATGAGGCTGCAAAGAATCAGACAAGAATCCACAGCCTAACTAAGGCCATTGAAGTCTGTGCAGAACTTGGCGTCCCTGGACGCGCCACGAGCATTTTCCGGAGCTGAAGCATAAGGTTTAGGGTCTTCCTGCCATGGACATGCTGCTGAGGCATCTGGATGCAGTAGTAGGACGTTAGAAGTGTTCGTGCTGGTGTTTACGGAATCAGCGAATCTTGAGAGGTTCGATAGGCTCGGGTGATCAGGCGACTTCTGCGTGCAGTTGGCCCTTCTCACAGGCGCCAATTGCTGCATTGAAGCTGATGTCGTTGGGTTGCAGGTCTAATTCGGGCATGCAGCTCAGAAGAGAGAGGGCTTGCTGCCACTTGCCACATTTCTCACCTCAGCTGCCCAATGAACTCATGCGAACTCTATGCTTCTCTAATCGCCGTCCAGGCCTGAAGGGCCGAATCCGTCTAAACCTTGCAAGCCCCACCAAACCCGAAGGTAGTTTTGGGCAGGACAGGACAAGGCAAGCCCAAATCCTGTATATCCAAACGCCGAAACCCCGACCCCAGGCTGCAGCCTGGAATCTGAAGCCCCAACGGAACCGAACGCGAACCCTGATTGTAGGCCCACGGACATAGACCCCAGAGGTAATGGTTCTCATCCCTGGACACTCGAAAACATTGGAACAAGCTCGCGGGGGTAACCAATGAACCCGGTCTCCGGGGAAGATCACTCGCTGTGTGGCTGAGTGCTCAAGGCTGCTGCCAAGAAGCTTTTACTGTATGTCACTAAGGGATTTCGCGCAGCACCACAGCACTTGTATGAGGACCGACTCCACCACTCTCCTTCATCTACGATCTCCCCAAGCATCATCGCACTCATTTCCATTGTGAGCATTTTTAAGATGCTGGGTGGGTGATCCATTGAGTTGTGTCACCACTGCAGGACGAACACTACTCCTGCTGTGCTCAGGCACGCGACTCGTTAGCCTTGCCCTGTCAGGGTATAGCGCGCACACACCGCGTACTCATCAGCAGAGCTTGCCACAGAGGCTTAAGAATGCAGTGTAGGACACAGGGCTGTGCATCTGGGAATGCAACCTGGTCTGCAAAACAACTCGCACGCGCTTAGGACGTGCAGAGCCCATCGCTGACAAAGGGGAGTGGGGTTGTACCACTTTTCTTCGGCCGGATCGCAGGCAGAGATGGCGGCATCGCAGGCGATGACGCTGGCCTGGAGTGAGGCGTTCAGCATCTGCTCGAAGAGCGCAAGGGCCCTCCTCCACTCCTGGTCTTTCAAGTTTAGTTCGGGCTTGGGGGTGTAGAGCACCCTCAAGGTCAACGTGCATTCAATACCTGTTCATTACAGGAGATGGTTCTTGCAGGGTCTCGGCACCAGCTTCTGACTCCATGGAGCTTACAAAGCCGATGTCCGCCGATCCTCGACACCAAAGATCAAACTTCCAAGTGCTGGACCAAGCTTCGAAGCCCTTCTCGCAGGCACTGATTAAGGCGCTGCACGTAACCTTGTGGCTTCCGTGTTCAGCTCTTCTAGTTTCGAGGTTTGAGATTAGTAGGATTGTGTTAAGGGCTAGTAGCACTTCAGGGTTCGGGGAGTAGGGCCATTAGGGCCTAGCGGTCGGTGCTTCGAGCGTAGGCTTTGGGCGTTGTTCGTGCTTCGAAATCCGCAGCTTCCGGCTGGGTTCCACATGCAAGGAGTCCAGGGCCTACATTGAGGGGTCACTCCGATGAGCCATCGAACTCCAAAGCAAACTCGTCGGAGGCTGAGTGCAGGGGCCTTGGGACCCTCAAAGCAAGCTGCAGGCCCATGGGAAGGCTGGGGTCTCTTCTCAGTCTGTAGAGATGGCCCCCCACTCTCAAAGCCATACCCAAAATCGTGAATCGTGGTTCAGGCCACAACGGCACTCTTATCCTTGAAGGGACAGGTTCGAGTCAAAGATTGAAGGATACCATCAAGGGCAACCGCAATTGGATGAAACGGCTCCCGCGACAAGATAACAACCGTGTATCCACAATAGCTGCGAGAAGGACGATGATGAGGACAAGCTGTCTGAATGCAGAAATGGAAGACTGTATCGTCTCGCAACACCTATAAACCCAGAGCATTTGTAACCAAGTGTTCCCGATTCACAGGCAGCTGTCATCGTATCCACAAATACCACCAGCATCATACTCAGAACTATCATTACAGTCGCGCCTATCATCTTCTTTATGGAAAGGCTAGTGTAAAGCTCTGCACTATTAGTGAGAAGACCCCCATGTTAGTCCCTGCATAACCGTACTACAACACTAACACACCCCAAACCCCCCATTCGATAATGAAAGCCCCTGTCAAGTAGCAGACCATTCTGTAGAAGTCTGAAAAATTCCTAAACCATAGAGAACCATGTACATGATACCATAAATTTCAAATAACCCTCCATTTTTTTCTTAAAAGCCTCTGCCGCTGTTTTTGGTCCCACCTCGTCGGGAGCCCAGCGCTCTGCGCGGAGGGGCCCCAGCCCGGCGAGAGCGGCGCGCCATCCGCTGCCCTTCTCCAGAGCCGTCGCGGCCTCGGAGGGAGGGAGTGGCGCGTTTGGAGGACTTTGGGTTTTGGGTTGAGAGGATTTGGAGGGTGCTTCAAAACAGGGGCTATAGAAACAGGAGCTTACAGGGTTCAGTGCTTTGGGCTTGGAAGGCTTGGAACTTGTGGTTTAGGAGAGTTTCGCGTTCGGGCTTCCCGCTCACCCGCGGGACTCTGTCGGATAATATTCGCGGTTTAGAGGAAGGTGGAGTTGACAAACATGTCCCAACGCAACAAACAGATCACACCCCAACTTAAAAGATTTTAAGAGTCTATATGGGGTCTTCAGGGTTTCAGGGCGAAGGGCTCTGCCTGGGTATTGGAGGAGCTGACTTAGGATTCCAGAGTCCAGGGTTAAGGGTTCCGAGTATCGAAAGGCAGGGACTTACCACGGCATGCCATACATAGTACAAACAGTATCCCAGTTCTTGGAAGTTTGGAAGTAGGGCTGAACAACGCTGCTTATTAAGTCCTCCAGTCCTCCAAGTACAGTCTATCCGAGCGGCAGCATTGTGAATGGCCAGATCTCTGTCGCCTCGAGGTATCAGTGAGGCTCAATTCTTCGAGGGTAGAGGACTTCTTGCAACTGTTTTTGAAGCTGTAGGGTGTTACGTCTTCTACAGGCAATGCGAACCTCGGCCGAAAGCGGCGAAAAGCTGCAGAGAGTGCTGCCACCGAGCACAGGAGGTGGCAGCCGTCATCGTCGAGCTGATTTCCAAAGCACTGTGTTTCAAGGCCTGCTGCCTGCTGCCCGACAGCATTTCCAACACCAGCTCCCAGCGGTGACCATGCTCGGACAGGGTGAGCGACAGAGAGCCGAAGTCGTTCGGACTCTTTGCGGCACGCGGAGACAGAGCCATCGCCCACTGGCTAGCTTTCGCACATGTACTCGTCTCCCAGTTCTGCGACATGGCATCCCGCTCGACTCTCGACAGCGCCATGGTGCTCACCATGGCCAGAGCTGCCAGCCATGCCCCCGCGGCGTCACATGCAGCAAGCGCCGCAGTGTACGTGATCACGTTCGTCAAAATGGACGGGCCCCGCTTTGCATCCAGGCACTCTGCCGCTAGCAGCCATTGCATGCCTCGACCTTTCGCCGTGATGCTTGCCGTCAGGCTGATGCAATCCTTAGGAGCCCAGCACGAAGGGTTTTGCAAAGCCTCGCCTGGGCTTCCTCCCGGAATACACTGCATGTTATTGTGTGTGTGACTGTGTGTGTGTTAGTTGTTTACCGGCCTTGCCGCCATCGTTGTTGCTGCTACCCGGGAAACCAACAGAGAACTTTTGCTGGACACTTAAGTATCCGGCAAAATCCCGGCCAACTGCATGGTCCAGAAAAGATCTGAAGACCAGCGCCACCGGTCCAATTGGCATGCCCTCATCGCAGAGTTGAAGCTGATTGGATCGGGCAGAACTCCTCCCGCACCTGAGAAACCCGATGCACATGCATGCCCATGTTTGTAGTGGAAGCGGGCAGCACACAACTTCAGCAGAACTGGTGGAAGTGTAGGCGGTATATCTATGTGTGATGCGACAGCAGCAACGGCAGCCAGAAGTCACCAGCATCACCACCACCACAACCATCACAACACTGTCAGCACAACCACCACCAAAACGACGACGACGACGACGGCAAATGCAGCAGCAAAAGCAACACAAACCAGAGCAAAATTGCCAGACCGTGACGGGTGTTCGACCGGAACTTTCGTTCCCCGAAACGAAAACCAAGAGCTCTAAAATCATTATAATGCAAATTCGGAGCGCTGAGGCTCCATATTAAGCTCAACCTCCCGCGATGTCCTCATACCGAACCTTCTCTGAACATCAAACCCCAAAAGCCTTAACCCTCTACCGGACGTGCTTCAGACAGCCCCGAACAACCAAAGGTAAGATTTGGAAATTGTTACACCTCAGGCTTTGAGATCATGCAGACGCTGGTTTGAGAAGAGCCAGCTTTTGCACGAATTGGCTCTCTGGATCCCTAGGTTCTATTCAGCCAAAGACGTCAGTCCGCGCCTCGGACTCGCTGGAAGAGAAGTTGGGCACAGTACCACCCGCCCCCCTGGGCACAGGTGGCCAGCGCCGCATTGAAAGTCACCTCCATAGCGGGTACATCGAGAGGAAATTTGCGATGTGTTTATACATCGGTCCTACAGCAGAAGGCTTCTACAGCTTAGGGGCTGGAGGCTGCGACCAAGTAGCGTACACACTCAGGAAGCTGAAGTTTCGGTTAGGCTGTCCAAGCCGTGCTGCTTGGGGGCATTGGGTTGGCTTCTGGTGTGTAAGCCCAGCACTGATAAGACCGAAGCCCCAGTCACAAACAACACCGATACCCTGATAAAGCCGAGACACTGTGGTTGGCTGCAGGTTCTGTAGTTGCAGCAAGCCGAGGAGATCGAGCATTCGCCGCCATCCAAGCTCGGGGCCAAGAACGCTGTGGAAGCTGAGCAGATTGGGCCGAATCCTGCGAAGCCAAAAGACTGGGGCCTTGGTCTGCTTCGTGCTTTGGTTTGAGGGCTCATGGGACTCCATCCCCCAAAAGCCTACAAACAGAATCTGAAGGATTGCAATTGAAAGGGGTTCCTCTCAGGTGGGTCTTCTTAGCTCCTGAAAAACAGCACGTTGGAGAGCAACTGCAAGGCGCCGTACCAGCGATTCACATTGGCATGCACCTGAACTCGAGCATGCAGTAGTCGCAGGGTATAAAACCAACCGCAGTTACACAAGAGTGCGCAAATGGCAGAAGCCTATGCGGATCGAGACGATTCCAGTAAGGGTTGAACGTACTTATCCTGTCCATTTATGTTTGTACTTGGGGACATACAAGCTGCCGCTGCTGCACTAATCACTAACCAGACGCCCAGGGGCAGATAAGTTGAAGCTCATGACATCCGGCTGAATTTCAGCAGGCCGCATGCACCCTAGCAGTTGCAGCACGCCGTCCCACCTGCAGGTTCTTCGAAAGAAGGTCTAGTCTAGTTGTTCTCTGGCTGGCGATGATTTGCTGCCAAGAAAAAACCTGTGGGACTCAGAGCACTGAACACCAAATCCCAAAGACAAATCCAAACCGCCTAAACCCAAAAGGTGTTGGAGCACACCTGCCGCCCTCATCGCACGCTTGGATCGCGATGGTGAAGGAGACGATGTCCAAAGGCAGCTCCCTCTCCGGTCTTTACAGGTCTAGGTAGGGCTTAGGTCGTTTCCGTTTGGGACAAGGTGACCTAAGATGACAGGCAAGCCAGCCAGCATATCTTCTGGGCCCACCGTTCCCGGGGTTTTAGGATTTAGGCATCGGTGTGTGCATCAAACGCCGGAAGCCCCACATCGCCGACAGCAGCTCCAGGCAAAGCTGCCAGAGGCCAGCGCGCAGCAAGGCAGAGAGGGCCGAGTTGTAGCCTCGCGGAGAGTCAGGGAGCCTTCGGAGTTGAAAGCTCAGGGTCTATTGCTCAAGTATGCTCAAGTTTGTCTCGCGAGAGTGAGCGCTTCCACATAGTCAGGCTTCGAAGCTTCGGGGCGCTTATGGCATGGACTGTCAAAGTGTGGGCAAGGCAGATGAGGCTCCTGTACTACAAAGCCCAACAATGACACTCAAACTTCAAGTTCGAGGCTAGGTCGTGTCAAGATGTTCGGGACTGCAGAGCTACAACCCAAGCATGGTGGTGTTTTGATGTTGAGTTTTTACAGCAACGGCTGAAGAAGCAGTCTCAGTCCGCGGAGCCGTCAGCGAGATAGATCCAAGGACTTCAGGTGCAAGGGTTGAGAATTTAGGGCCGGGGATTTGGATTTTAAAGGTTCAAGCGCTGTGTCCCCAATTTTCGGGTCCGCGGCCACCTGTCGTGTGGCCTTTTTCTACTGCAATCGCGGCAGCTTAACTTTTGTGGTTCAGGTGGCTTTGGGCATCCGGATCCAGATCCGCGACTTAGTCGCTTGTTTCGGGTGTACTATAAGGGACCCTGCAACTACTGTAGGTAAGCCATGAATTCCCTGAGGCCAAGCCGCAAATCGTCGTCTGGTGCACGTGCTCGGCTTCCAAAGAGCTGAGGATGCAAAGTGCCTGCCTCCACGCAGCGATTCCGCAGTCTTAATGGCTTAGGTGCTTTGTGGTGTGTACTGAACGAAGCTGGCCAGAGTTTTTGGGGTTGGGGTTTAGCGCTTCGGGCTTTGGAGCTTAGGGTTGGGGGGAGCTCCGCTTTTATGGGGATATGGGCCTTTGGGTTTAGGGCTTCATGGACGGAGGGCTCATGGAGTCTTGTGGGGTGTTGATTTTAAGATTTCAAGCGTTCAAAATTCAACGTTTAGAGGGTTTGGAGGACCAAAGATCCGGATTCCAGGGTGCAGGGTGCAGAGTTGAAGGCTCGGAATTCTTTCGGTGGCCATGTTTCTGAAGATGAAAGGCCCCGGCACTTGGGAAGCTGGGACGGCCTTTAACCTCCGTACTACACCTGGCCGCCTCCAGCGGGACGCATAGGCGCAAGCATTGATGCAGCTAGAAAAGCTGAAAGCCTCGGATCGCGGCGGAATGAGAAGTCGCGAGCTCCAGGAAAAGTTTCAAGAGCGGATAAGTGAGGTGGCTCCGGGCGCTTTTGTCCTGCTCGGAAGGCGGCCCAATAAGTTGAGCCCCGTTTCTCCAGAACCCATATGTAAATCCAACGCATGCCAGCTGAGCAACATCCATGCTCCGTCTACTGCACATCTGCCCCAGCAAAGCGCAAGCCAGCTGCCAGTTCGCAACACAGGCGCTCAGTGCCAAGTTGTAGTGGAGGACGGCCAACTGTTCAGGGCATGGGTCCTTTGGGGCCTTGGGCCCGATTGGCCCGACTAAAAGACAGCAAGGAGCTGCATACACGACGTAAGACAACACAGCTTTGAACCACCCGCAAAACCGCATACTCTCATGCAACAGACGATCAGAGACTCGTCGCCATCATCATCAGGACTGTCTGATTCAATAGTCTTTTAACACCGTCATTACTAATTTCTAGGACCACAACCAACATTTCTGAAGTAATCAAATCTTTGTCTTCTTCATCACACCACTAAGATCCGACCTGCAAAGCTGCCTCTCGCATTGAGTCCAGCATTCGCAAGGCCTGACTTTGGAGAAGTGTATGGCCAAAAGTGGGACTTCTGTGGTTGCCAAAATTACTGGAAGTCGTCAACAGATTCGGGCCTAACTAAATAACCGTTGTTGAGGTTTGCAACGCTGGACCTGTAAGTATAGCGCCAAGCCCTCAACTTTCCAGACCACAACCTAAAGTTACAACTCGGACTCTCAAGCCGCAATGGCCGTACTTGCCAAGCGAACGAAAACATGCTTAACCCAGCGCTTCCTTTGACCCTAAATCTCCATTGACCCGGGCATTTGGAGATGGTCTACGCAAGGCTCATACCGGCTCTGCAAGGTTGAAGGTCGCTGCAGGATGGCTGCCGCAAAGTTTAGATTCGTAGGGGGGAGTTTAAAGTTTAGTTTAGGGTTTCGGCACTCACATGCCGACTGTCATGTTTTCTGACCAAAAAGCGCCCGACCCGCCAAAACAAGACGATCCCGTTAAACTCCACTCTGCCAAAATAGTTGATGGCGATCAATCCAGACAAGAGCCGAAGGTGTCAAAACAAACTAGTTGATGGTACTTCCGGTCAACGCAAGTACTCCAGTCGGCTTTGGGTTTAGGCGGTCACGTGGTTTTCGAAGGAGAAGTGCCCAAGGCCCCTGAAAAAAGGAAAGCATCTGCCGTTTGCTCATATCAAAACCTTGCTTGCGCTGCGTTTATGCAAATATGCAGATCAGCTGAATATCCCTAATCCGCCTATACCCCAAAAACCCTTCAATGGGAAGCCTCACTCGGCCGCTTCGCACGTGAGCAGGCCCGCAAAGCTCGCCAGGCTGCTTGCTGGTCCGAGATTACCATGGCAAACGTATTTGGGGCTTGGGTTCAAGGTTTAGGGCTTGCAACCGACCACCGCAAGCCCCCGGAAGCCGAAGACTTCATCAATATTGTAGCAAGTGTTGCGTCTGTGGCCAAGCCCAACATTGGAGTTAAAAGTTCATGTGCTTTTTGTCACTCGTGCTTCCAGTTTGTGACCTCCTGTCAGAGGGGCCGATAGGGTTTGAAATAAGGGTTAATTCGATTTCTAACTCGTTACGAAAACCCTCTGTGTGGCTCCGATCCTAGCAGCATGGACCAGCCAGCCCCTGTTCGATAGTCCACGCAGAAATGCGGACGAATTGTTACAAGTTGCAGTGTTGCACCTCACTCGCCTCACATGAATGCTTGTCGAATGGGAACACACGGTTGACAGACGTGTGATGTTCAGCTGCCAAAACCATTGCAGCTGGAGCCAGCATGAAAAGGGCTGGTCCGAATGCCGCTACTTGGAGTTTGTGCGATTTATGTTGAAATCCAAGGTTGGTGGCCAGCTTAAGTTTAAATCTTCGGCGTTACGATACCGCTCAGGGTATAGCGGCTAAGGCCTAAAGCCTATCTTACGATTCGGAGTTGGAATTTGTCAGTAAAACATGCTGATGCATCCTAATTCTGCACACGCCGTAATCCCGGGACACAACCGAGGCAAGTCAAGTCCTACCAACTCCAGCTAAAGTAACCGATGCTGCAAACGCATGTATGTACTTCTGGCTGCCCCGATTCGGCTCCAACCCTAACCCTAATGTTTAGCTGCAGACCGTCGGCATTTGTTGCCTCGATGACGAGCCTGTCAGGCTTGCTGCCGAAGTTCGCGAGGATGATGGCTTTGTAAAGCAGCAAAAGCTGTGTATGCGAACTCCTGAACTTCCTACAGTATGTGGTCCGTTCGAAGACGGAGGCATGCATTTGGATGTAAATGCTTGGGCGGTGGGTTGCCTGTTCCGGACACACTTGACCGTTCAGGCCAGCTTGTGTGCACCAAAACAGCCGTGTTAAGGGGAGTGTGATGACACAACGGATTGGACCCCTTGGTCCTGCGCAAATCTCATGAGCTCGTGGCAAATGAACTGGAATCTGGAACGCGTCTTTTCCCGACCACTTGTCGCTGGCTTGTGCGGGCCCAAGTCCACAAGAAAACACGACCTGAGCAACGGCAGGTTGATGTCTAAACTCCAAGACAAAAACCACCTTAAGCCCTACCCCAGAACCGTCACATACTGGGGATGTAGTACCCCAACGGCCTGAACCCCTCAACAAACCATCCTCAAGCCTATGCTCATATGCCCTGATGCGAGAATCCCAAACTCGACAGCCCGAAACCCTGAACCCCAAAACGAGCGGCTGGAGGACTAATCCCTGATCCACCCGCTCAAGCTCTCTTTCATGCCTGTGCAAAGACATTAAGAGAGGGCGAAAGGTAGCCTTTTAGACAAAGGGACATGGTCTTTACACCCGTTGAGCGGTTCCCTCCACACATCCCGCCTCCTGCGAACGCCACTCAAGTCTTTTTGCTTGAGGTTTCCGGCTTTCAGATCGGCTGGCTTGTGCAGTTCTCAAACCTGAAATCCAAAAGCCTCGCAGGTCCTCGGAGCAACCATTTGCAAATCAGCAGCAATCTCCTCCGCTGGAGGCATTGCCCTCAAGTTGAGATAGCGCCAGAATCTGCCTGCGTGAAGCCACGTGCGAGGCAGTATATCCGGTGTGTGCACCAACATGCACTTCTGCCTGCCTGCGTTCCAGCCAAGATTGCCATTGTAGACACTCAGCCTGCAGTTCTTGCAACCGCCACTCTGAGGATGCGGATTGGGATCATGATTTTGCTGACATAAATCTGGACCTGCGAGACCGGGAACACTGGAAAACCGCTTCGAAGGGATAGGAAAGCACCCATTCCAACCGCATCACTGCACCGCAAGCATTCTTCAGCCAAGACTTGAGATGACACATAGGACTGAACACCGAGTCTCCTGCAGTCGATGGCCTGCAGATCCT